TAGCACAGAACGAGTAAAAACTGTGTTCCCGACAGAGTGTCCCAAAAACAACTGCTGGTAAACTGCCACTTGTTTCAGACACAATACACTCTCTCTCTCTCTCACACACACATATTGAACAACAAATATGAATGGTGCAGCAGGTACTCTGAAAAACTGTTGAATGTAGGATGTCATCCAGGAAATACACATTTAAACTATTTCCTATTTCATAACAATCTACAATCACAGGAAACGGTGAAGAAATAGTTAGAAAAATAGGCTTATATGTACAACACATAGGTATCACTACAGAGAGTCCTTTGCATCGTCCCATGTCGTCTCCTAAATGACTGTAGGAGGCTTGTTTTTTTTCTTTTTGCATGTTAAGCGCATCATTGGGATTGTTTCATATGTAACCAACTGGACTGGAGGACATGCACAATTCACAATGTTTCAAACTCTGAAGTAAAAAGACAGAAATGCTCAGTGAACTCTGAGTGATCATCAACTTTCTACGTGTCACTCAAATCTCTTGGCGATAAGTACGATATTACATCGTGAACTGGAAGAATGAAGTAAAATGGAAATATTCAAGCAAGTAATTATTAGCATTATCGTTACATATATTACATATTTAATGTTATATTCAGAACAATTTGCATACTTTGAATTCTCTATGATAATGTGAAGCAACTAGGGCTGTGCAATTAATAGTATTTTAATCTCGTTACGATTTGGCTTGCAACGATTATGAAAACAATGTAATCAAAATAAAACGATTATTATTTTTATTAAAAAAAAAAAAAAAAAGTTATTTTTAAAAAAAATTTATTGGTTTTTCAGTTTAATTATACTTAAAGTTCAGAGTAATCAACTGTTAAAAACATACTGTTCACATTTTTTTTTTCAATATATGGATGTTTTCAAAGTAAATGGATAATCGTTTTTAATAATCGTGATATCAATTATTGACCAAAATAATCGTGATTATGATTGTTGCCATAATCGCACAGCCCTAGAAGCAACTGTAAAGAAATAAATGAAAACACTGAATATATTATGTGTTTTGACTGTAGCTGAAAGTATATTTCTCAGGACTCTCAGGATGGTGTGTTTCTGCTTCCAGGACCTTTTTCAGGAAAATGAAATACCGTACTGTACAGAAGCCGCTCTGCCCTTTTAAAAATAGAAAGTAGCCGTATTCCTACAGTATTATATCGCAGAGCAGGCACGCTGAGATCAGTGATGGTGTTTTAAATGCTTTCAGACTAAATTTAACCGTGCGATGAGGCTGATAAAGTGCTCTCCATGGCTCCCAGAGGAGATGCGGGTGGTGGCTGGCATGTGATGACACGGCACGATGGAAAATACCTCAGATAAAGTGATCATCTCCACCGGCTGATAAGCTGCAGCCGACTGAACATTTTCCATCAAGGAGCCCTCTTTGTCTCTCCAAACAGCTCCCGCTCAGATTCACCGCCACATTTAAAGCCTCCAATTAATTAATAGATATTATTATAATTGATTCAGATTTAAATCAACGGTGGATGAAAGAAAGGGGAACTTCTGTCAGCACTAAAATGCACTTTTTCTAAAACATCTTACAATTTATTAATATAGAAAAGATGTTACTACTTCTCCTACTACATGTTTTCACATAATTGCTTTCTCTTCTCAGTCTGAACAGAGTAAACATGTTGGAAGTGTGTTTTCAATCTCATTTCACTTCCTCTATGTGCCAGAAATAGTTGAAATGTTTGTTTCTGCTTCAAAATCCTCCCTACAGAATCCCTGGGAAATAAGGGAGAAAAATGAATATTCCTGATCCATTTTCTAAGTCTGATCAAAATGAAGGAGATGTTTTGTTATAAAACATCTTTGATTGAGTGTGTAATCACCTGACACTAACAATAGTGATGTGTATGTTCTAGTTAAAAGCACCCTTTTTAAGCTACATATAGAGGGGGTCCTCTTCCATGTGCCATGTTTTAGTGTTGTACAAAAGAACTCTGGCTTTAGAGAGGGCCTTTCACTTTTTTTTCCGAATGGCATGGGTATTCAGTAAGATGCAATCTGCTACCTGACCACTAGGTGCCACTACATCCTAAACACTGCTACTTTAAGAACAGGTAAAAACCAAGCCCCCAGGAAGTGCGCCGGACTCTGAGGAAAATATTCGTTGTGGCCAAACGGCGGTACTACACTTCCGTATCAGTCGCTGGGCCCGGAAAGACTTTTTCCCATTGACTAACATTGGGAAAGAGACGTCTGTAAATCGTTGGATAATTTTTTTTAAACTAAATAAACTACCCAGTATGAACACTTGTATAGCCCTCATTAAAAACCTTCGGTCGTCAAGTTGTAAAATGTGCTAATAACGTTATTCTGAGAGTTATTTTCCTCTGCATTATGAACGCGCATCTAACCCACGGGACCGCGCCGCCCGGCACGTTCATGTGACGTGTTCAGCACTACATGAGTTTTACCTTTACCCATGGATGCACAATAAGAACGGATTATATGATTATATGAATACTTTCGTGACGTTTCGCTCTCTCAAAAGTTGGGCCATTTTGTCTTCATGCGCCAATGAGCAACTCTCATAGGAATGAACGAGGCCCCGCCTCCCACGCTGTATCCAGTTTCTTATTATACATCCATGGTACAAACACAGATGAGGTCTTTACCAGAACAATCTTTTTAGGTCCCTGTGAAAAAGGGAAATAAAACGTTTTGCGAGGTTAAATATAATTCTGCCGTGAGTTACTTATATTTTTCTTACAGAGAACAACGTGTTTTCTCAGGTACATTCTTTTGGTTTCTTAGAGAGGACATATTATAATCATTTCTTAGGTTCAACCACAAATGGCTAAAGTGCACCACTACCCCATGTTCTAAAACTACGAAAAGCATTCATGTTTTCTTAAAGGTGAGTTTTAATTTCCCCTTTACAAAGTATTCTCTGACAGCAATGTAAAGTGCTAAAAAAAAACATGAATATAGGTTACACTTAAAGGTGGGGTAGGTAATTCACTTCAGAAACACTTGTTGTTTATTCCATGGAATGCTCTTAACATCCCGATAGCAATGAATACATTAAATGCTTTGACATAAATACATTAAAAACATTTAATCTGTGGAAGCCGTGGCGCTGTAAAAAGCACGACCAATCATCTGAGCCGGCCCGGCTAAAATAACTGGATGGCCTACCTGCCTGTCAGCCTTCCATCTGTGCACAAACTTATCTCGTGCCCTCATTGCTCAAGTGCGCTGTTCGTGTGTGTTGGAGGAGGGGCTCTGTAAGGAAGTCTGAAGGAAGGGGCAGATTCTTTTCGGCTGCGTACTTTCAAATTCTAGCGCACTCGAGTTGGTTCCTCCACTCTTACCTACCCTACCTTTAATGTTGTTTTTAGGAAGCTAAAATCCCTTTGCTGCTGCCTCCTTCTATTGCTCAGCTTCCTCCTGGTTTCTCCAAACTGGGGCATGCCCATCTTCATCTACTGTAATACCCTGACAATAAAGTACGTCATAGAGGCCCTTTTCTAACTATCCCATCCATCCCTGTAATGTATGTACGGGCAGAAGAAGATAGTGACAGCGCGAGGCTTTCTCCCCGACGTGACGGCTCGGCAGACCCTGCGAGAGTATATCCTCGTCACGGGATATAAATGAAGACAAAAGGTTCTATGCCCCGTGTCTGTTTTATGTGTCCAGCTGACTTAAACGAGCCGAGGGACAAAAGGCCGTCTTTCACTACGGCTCCTTGTTCTGGATATTCTCTGTTGTGCTCTATTTGTGGCTCTGCATGGGAATGTGTGGGAGAGTTAGGAAGAGGGAACGTAACGTTAGACAGTGATCCCGCCTGTGTTTGGATAAAGA